CAACAACATTCTGCCATAGGTATAAATATCCATCTTTTATAAATGAAGAGAATGAGCTCAAGAAACTGTTTGCAAAAGTCACACCATTAATAGGTGACAGACACAGAATTCCAAGACAGCTCTGTCTGACTCTGGAACCCTTGCTCTTCCTGGTTGCACTGAAGTTTATTAGTGTAATTTAATGCACGCCTAGAGGTAGATAACATAAAACCCACAACCCAGGTAAAGTGGAGCTCTGTGCCCAAACAACAGTGATCTGCCCCTACCCCAGCATGTCCATCTCCATTTATCACTCAATTTACAGCTCTGATATTTACTATTGATCACTGGCTGCTAATCATGTAAGTTTGTCTTACGTCTTCAATTGCAAAAAAAAAAAACCCTGAAACCAAATTCTTTATCTCATTTTCTGTCCCCATAGAACTTATTCATCCAGTGATAGCAAGTGCACAATCAATACATCCTGGTGAATTGGTTAGATTTTCTTACTGTAAATGCTTTCAAAGATTCCAAGTTGGAAAGGGCTTTGAGTATTTGCCCCTCATAGAAAAATAATTCCAAAAGCACATAAAGCCATTCATTTTTCTTTTTCCTAGGCAAAAGGAAGAGGGGAGGATGGTGAGTGGGGAAAGACAGGAGCAAAGGATTATAATGGGGCAAGAGAGAACTTTTGAAGGTGATAAATATGTTCTTATGCTGATGGTTTCACAGTCGCATGAAATGGCAAAGCTTACCAAACTGTATGTCTTAAATAGGTGCAATTTATTATAAACCAATTACACCTCAATAAAGCTGTGAAAATAATGCAGGCAGATACAGAGAAAATCAAGATGGAAATTGTCTTAGGGAAGGAAGAAAACTTCAAAAGAGGGTGTTAATAAAAAGAGGGAGAGTCCAATGGTGAGAACCTTCAATGTCAGGTACTGCTAAGGGGCCGTCACAGCTGGGGCATAACCAAATAAGCATTTTAGAAGGATCTGCTGGAAGCTCTGCACAGGGTGGATGAGAGGATGATCAAGCCTGGAGGGAGAGGAGGGAGCAGTTATGAGGCCATGGCAAGGGTCTGGGCTGGGTTAAGGCAGTGGAAATGGGAGAGAAGATATGGAGTCAAAGGATTTCAAGGAGTCAGAATAGACAGATTTGGCCCCAGGCAACACAGAGACAATGGAGCTAAGGATGGCCTTGATTTGTGTAGCCTAGAAGAGTGGGTGGTGTCATTAAGAGAGATAAAAAAAAATCCCAGCGGAAAGGTCAGTATCATAAAGGGCTTTATGATCATTTAAGAATGACCCAGAGGAGAAGACAGTAAAAGATACCAACAGCAGGCAAGTACATAAAATACTGTGCTAAGTTCAGCCATGTAATCCTCCAGTTATTAAATGGCCTATACTTTTAAACCATTTGAAACAAAAGTCAAATGGCTTGAGAATAGATAAGCAAACCACAGTACCATCCAAGGGATGGGAATCACTACCAAGTAGTGACTGAACATGATAGATTTGAAGATTATGTACAAAATAATTTTGCTAGGTAATCTAAAGCTTTTCTGTTTAGAATAAAATATTATATACCTACAAGGATTTCAGTAACTGTGTAACACCTAGAAAGAACTCAAAAAATAAAATATCATCAGATCACAATGAATAAAAAATCCTTTTGGCAATAAATGGCGCTGGAAAAAATGGATAGCCATATGCAGAAGAATAAAGAATTAGAGCCCTAACTCTCCCCATATACACAAATCAGATCAAAATGGATTAAAGACTTAAATCTAAGATGTGAAACTATGAAACGACTAGGTAAAGCATTGAGGAAACAACTCCAGGACATTGGCTGGGGCAAGGATTTTTTGAGTAAGACCTCAAAAATACAGGCAACCAAAGAAAAAGCAGACAAATGGGATTTCATCAAGCTAAAAACCTTCTACACAGCAAAGGAGACAATCAATAAAGTGAAGAGACAACCCACAGAATGGGAAAATATATTTACAAAGTACCCATTTGACAAGGGATTAATAACCAGAATATATAAGGAGATCAAACAACTCAATAGAAAAACATAATCTGATTTTAAAATGGGCAAAAAGTCTGATTACACATTTCTCGAAAGAAGACACACAAATGGCCAATAGGCACATGAAAAAAATGCTCAACATCACTAATCATCAAAGAAATGGAAACCAAAACTACAATGAGATAACATCTCACACCAGTTAAAATGGCTTTTATCAAAAAGACAGGCAATAACAAATGCTGGTGAGGCTGTAGAGAAAGAGGAACCCTTGCACACTGTCGGTAGGAATGTAAATTAGTATAGTTACTATAGAGAACAATATAGAGGTTCCTCAAAAACCTAAAAATAGAACTACCATATGACCCAGCAATCTCACTACTGGGTATATTTTCAAAAGAAAGGAAATCAGTGTATTGAAGAAATACCTGTACTCCCCACGTTTACTGTAGCACCATTCACCACACCCAAGATTTGGAGCCAACCTAATTGTTCAACGATGGATGACTGGATAAATAAAATGTGGTACATATACACAATGGAATATAATTCAGCACTAAAAAAATGAAATCCTGTCATTTACAAAAACATGGATGGAACTAAAGGGCGTTAGGTTAAGTGAAATAAGCCAGGCACAGAAAGACAAATATCACATGTTCTCACTCATATGTGTGAGCTAAAAAAAAAAAAACTGAACTCATGGAAATTTAGAGTATAAGGATGGCTCCCACAGGCTAGGAAGGGTGGTGGGGAGGGGAGTATACAGAGGGGACAGTTAATGGTTACAAAAATACAGTTAGATAGAAAGAATAAGATCTAGAGTTTGGTAGCACAATACGGCAACTAAAATTAACAATAATTTGTTGTATATTTCAAAATAACTAGAACTAGAATGTTCCTAACACAAAAACCTAATAAATTCTTGAGGTGATGGATCCCCCAATTACCCTAATTTGATCACACATCATATGCTTGTATCAAAACATCACATGTGTCCCACAAATATGTACAACCATTATGTATTTATGACGATTAAAAATTTATAAAAGAAAAAGAAAAGAAAAAATCTATAGGTGTGAGGATGGCACCTCCTCTACCATCTGTATGTTTACTGCCCTCGTTGTCAACAAATTCTTCCATTTGGCCAAATCCTGTATTAATACAAAACATGAGCTCCTCTCAGATGTTCCCTCATACCAGGGCTCTCAAATCTGAAAGAACTACTTAAAATAAATATTCAAAGGTTTCCTTAGAGTTCTAAGTCAAATCTATAAATGAATCAATGAACTGGTAATTTTTCATGAATTAGGAAGTGAAAGCTATTTACTATGCTCTAATTATTCAATAACTAGGCAAGTCATTAGATTCATCATTTTAAGAACTGAAAACAACAGACTGGCCAAGGTAGATAGTTATGGGAGAGAAAATTCTGGAACCCAGATTGCCTGAGCCAGCATCCTCTACCAGCGAGTCCATGCAGTAATAAATGTTTGGTGAGCCTGTCAGATCAAATCAAATTTCCTTATGTACTGCTATCCAAAAATGAGGATCATCTGCATATAAAATGTGCCAGCATTTTAGTAACCATGTTGCATGTACAGTATATCAAAAGCCTTTCACATTGGTCCATGACGGACTGGAAATAAAAACAATTGTTCCTTCACCACAAACCATACAAGGATAGTGTTTTAGAGCATATCTGGTTTGAAACAGAGTTCATTTAGTCAAAACAGTCAAACTGGTTCCACTTAATGACAAGTAACATGCAGAAGAAAATGCTAGGTACACAAGTTTGAATGGCTTTTTATTAACTTTTGTGAGAAAAACTTTCTTAGTGTGAGGCAATTATAATAGTCCTCCATTGGGTCTGGTACTTATTTCTTAACCTCAGGAAGTAAAGAGTGTCAATTTGACATTATATAATTGCCAGTTTTACTCCTAAAAACTGACAAAGCACAGAAATAAATGAAATAATGTGGCTGGGGGAAAAACTATTGTCATAGTCATCAGGATGATTCCCATCCTGCTAAAGGCTTTGATTTTCAATTTTACACGAAACTTTAAATTGAGATTAGGTATAACAATTAAATTCTAAAACTGAATTCATGTTACTGTATCCTCAGTGAAGACTGTAAGTTCCAAGTCCAACAATACACCAACTTAGACATCCTGAGGGCAAAATGTGGAAAAACATCCCCATTTTAGTGGTGATAGTGGGAGAGCTCACTGAATATGATAAAGCTATAAGGAATTTCAGTCTTCCTACTTGAAGGAAATAATACTAACCAAGTCACACCTCCTGGAAACAGAATGTTAAATCATAAGAGACATGAAGTTACGTCTCCATGACTCACGTTTCTCCTGGACGTAAAGATAGCCTTCCATCGTCCACTGGCTGGGGGGTCTGTAGTCTTGGTTGGCAGACTTCATCCTCTGCATCAACCGCTCCACCTCTTGTCGAGTGCTTTCAAAATTATTCCTTGTCTTAAGTAAATAAAAACAGCAATTTCATTCAGTGTTTTCTACCACGTTTGAAGAACCTCCAGACTAAAGTTTCACAAGTTCAAATGGTATAAAAGAGAACCTTGATCCTTTCAGCACTATTCACCACACCCATGACCCTGTAATGTTGAGTCCTGTGGTCTGATTTTGAATTGCTTTAGTGAACACTTCTCTGAAAGACCTTCTGCATGTTTCTCTTAGAGAGAGAGAGAGAGTGTGTGTGTGTGTGTGTGTGTGTCTGCGCGCGCGCGCGCGCGCGCACGCGACTTTCTTCCTATTTTCACACTCCAATGTTATTACTTGGGGGTAAACTATGTCAATTAAAAATATGGGCTGGGTGCAGTGGCTCACACCTGTAATCCTAGCACTCTGGGAGGCTGAAGCAGGAGGATCACTCAGGAGTTTGAGGCCAGGCTGAGCAAGAGCGAGACCTCATCTCCACAAAAAAAAAACAGAAAAATTAGCCGGACGTGGTGGTGCGCGCCTGTAGTCCCAGCTACTAGGGAGACTAATGCAGGAGAATTGCTTGAGCCCAGGAGTTTGAGGTTGTAATGAGCTATGATGATGTCACTACACAGGCAACAGAGTGAGACCTTATCTCAAAAAAAAAAAAAAAAAACAAAAAACTAAAGTAAGATGCATTAAATAGAATTTGAATTTCCTAATACTTAAGGTACAAAGCTGATACATAGGGACTGAATTTCTTTTGAGGGAAAAAACAAAATAAGTTCACATATTTTTGATATATGTGGCACTGAACAAATCAAGAAAACAGTTCACCACCATTGTACCAAAGGCTTTTTTGAAGAAACATCACGTAGCTTGGTTTACTAATGCAGGTATTAAGAGGTCAGTGTATAAATTAACTCATAAAAATCCATAGGTTTCCAAATTCTAACTTCTTCTGTTACAAGAAATAGTTTACTCACCTTACATCACATTTACTTAAGTTAAGCTATTGAAAGAATCAGGCTTTTCTCTTTGAATATCGCTTTTGCATTCGGGCCACATTACCTTAACAATACATTTTTGTAAACATAATAATCATCACCACCTAAGATATTATGCCTCATAATAAAAGAACTGAATCTCAAAGTAGGTTAGGAATATTTTGTCACTTTTGCTATTTGTCTCTTTCAAACATAAGGATCTGAAATTTTTCTAATTCCTTACCTCTCTCCTGTTCCTGTATCCCAGGAATCTTAATGTAATTGTATGTAATATGGAAATAAATCATAAAAATATTTTGGATTTTGTAATTTTAATATTTACTGAAAAAGCCTCAATGAATTCTATATTAAAAACAATGGGATAAATCAAAGGTGAAATCGATTCTGCTAAACAATCTAAGTTAAAATAAAAGCTAAAACTCAAAACACAAGTAGAATAAATCTCATATTTCGTATGGAACACTCCAGTTCCATAGTTTTATATACTGGATATCTCCACAATGGCAAGAATTAGATAAGCAGAGAAACACAAGCTTTTTATAGAAAATTAAGTGAAGGTTTTCCAAATTATTTTGGCTATAGAGATAGTCAAGATTTCAATTATAGAAAAACCTCATTTGTCAGGTTTGATAATGCAGAATGAGCTGGCTAAAGTATCATATATACGTTTGTGTATGTACATAAATGTGTATGTTGCTCAGCATTTGAAAATCAGAATTTGTATAACTATGCAATCAGAAATTAAAAGGATTAGACAACTTTACAAAATAAATCCTGATACTAATAGAGAGGCTGTTTGGAAATAATTCTCACTTATGCTTTAAAACAGTTACAAAGCCACATTCAAACCTATTATTTGAAAATAATATACATCACGTATTTTACATATAATTTCAGAGAAAGATACAACATTTAGGTGTTAAAGTATAATCCCTTCACTTCACAAATATAGAAATGCTACCCTCTCAAAAAATAAGACTTGTCTAAGATCCCACCAATATTTTATTTTCCAGCTTTATTGAGGTATAATTAACAAATAAAATTGTATATATTTAAGATCTACAATGTGATATTTTGATATATGTATACATTGTGAAATGATTACCACAGTCAAGTTAATTGACATATCAATCATCACATATAGTCACCATTTTTGTGTGTGTTTGTCTGTGTGGTGAGAATATTTAAGATCTACACTCTTGAGGTAGGAGGATTGCTTGAGGCCAGGAGTCTGAGAACAGCCTGGGCAACACAGAGAGAACCTGCTGCTAAAAAAAATTAGCTGGGCTTGGTGGCACATACTTGTAGTTCTAGCTACTCAGGAGGCTGAGGCAGGAGGATCGCTTGAGCTCAGGAGATTGAGGATGTAGTGAGCTATGATTGTGCCACTGCATTCTAGCCTGGGCAACAGAGTGAGACCTTGCCTCAGGAAAAAAAAAAAAAATCTACACTCTTAACAAATTTCATGTATATAATACAGTATCATTAACTACAGTCACCACGCTGTATTTTACTTCTCCAGAACTTATTCATGCTCTATCACCTAGTAAATTAATGAGAGCACTGGATGAAGGCAAAAGTTTCCAAACTTCCAGGTGTCAACACCTGGGTAATATTTGCTTTTATAAAATTTGTTTGTATAAATTTTTCTAACATGAGATTAGTGGTTTTTTGTTGTTGTTGTTGTTGTTTGGGTTTTTTGGTGTACTTTCAATTAACAGCTAGAAAACAATTTTTTTAATACGTTTATAAAGTGGCTTTTCTAAATTATTGAGGTTTTACTGTACCTAGAGATGTTTTTGAAAGATTCCAAGGTTGGACTTGGCTATAACTTAGTTGCCCTGTGATCATCAGATGTGCTAAGGAGAGGCAGTAAGAACAGGAGTACTCTTACATTCTGCAAGTTGAACTGCAGCTGTTGCTTATATGGCGCAAATTCCTGGGCAAGTTCATATCCCTCGTGGTAAAAAGTAAACAAACCCTGAAGAAATGACAAAAGCTGCAAAGACATAAAAAAAGAAATCATGAAAACTTGTTTTAAAAAAAGATGATCATCAAATGTAAAATACTGGGGAAATTATATTTCATTCTAATTCCTCAAGCTAATACATTTTGAATCCCTTTGTTTGGCAAGGCAGGTAATAGATTTATGGATATAAAATAGAAACCAGAAAAGTACTTTTATTTCCTTTTTCTTAGACAGTGATCTAATTTTTGAGCCTGATCATGAACAGTTTTCATGTTCACTTCTCAACTATTCATATGCATTGAGGAAACATCTAGAAGAGACCACTGAGGGGGATGAAGACCAAAGTGGCATAGGTCCTACCCTGGAAGAGCTTCTGGTCAAAACAGGGAGATAAAACACGTGTACACAGAAGGAAGACTAAACCAGTAAAACACAGATAAAACGTACTCAAGGGAAGGAATAAGAATTTGGCCAGATGAAATTGAGCAAAAGTATCACAAGGTGGCAGTACTGATTTGGATATGGAATAGACAGCACGTTAGCAAGGTGTGGGAACTCAAAACAGAGGAAAGAGTTGAGCAAAAACACCGAACTAGATAACACAGGTCTTTCATTTCAGAGTTAGAGTAAAATTTTCCTTAGAAAACTACAATTTCTGCGACCCTAGTCTTTTAATCCCAAATTCATATGTGCTTATTTATGTTTTTATCCATAAACTAAGACCGGCTCTCCACAGAATGACAGGACACAGTTATTTTTTTATGGAATAAACTATATTGTTAAAAACTTGATTTAAGTATTTTCATTTGATTCACAGAGATTTTATTCCACAGACTTCTTCCTTCAACTCAATCTCTCCCACAACCTCTTTCTGCAATAAAGTTAGAAAATATTTTTGAAAGGTAGCTCAGAGTATGTCTGTAACTTACTATTTAAAAAAAAAAAAAAAAGACACACAATTTGTAACCATTTTCCCACGTGAATAACATTCTGCCACTTCCTCTGTCTGGGGAGGCAGCGAGGACTAGGCTAAGCATCAACTGGTATGTCTGATTTCCAACAAATAAACATGGTTCTGTCTGAAAACAATGACCTAGTGCTTTTCTTCCTATAAACAAGTGAACTTCATACAATGTTCATTTCAGAAAGTATATATATATCCAAATCATTTTTGTTAAGTTGTTACAGTTTAAGGACTTTTATTCTCTTGAGCAATAGTTCCCGACGTTTTGCCAAAAGGTATTGTTTGCCATTTTAGAATTATACTCTCAGCTTTACAGCAACTGATAACAATTATTATCAAAACTAAATATTCAATAGCCTATCTTGAAATCATGCTATACTTGTCAAATTATCCAATAAAATATATAGTCTGCATATACTGCTACCTAAGTATACCAAATTGCAGCTAAAATTAGATTCGAAATACCTTTATTAAGGGTTTGGATATGTAGACAGAGCTTTTCAAAGAGAAAATATTTTTGAAATATATAGATAACATTAGCCTTCTGAACATCCAAATAACAGTTTATAAAGTTGTTAAAGAAGTATTATTTCATATTTTACCATCTATAATTAGTCTACAATTAAACCATCTCATTATGAACTGGATGCCACACAAAGTAGATGCTATTTTAAAATCAGCATATGTACAAAAATTAATTAAACTTGTAAAGAAGGTATTTTAAGAATATCTGTGATAAAGCTTGCTACAAAACACCTAATCCCCTGAGATACATCTTTTCTAATATTCTGAGTGCTCAGAACCTGGGAAAAAGACAAAATACATTGATATTTCAGAAATATGAACTCACCACTCAGAATCATACCTAGAATGTTGCTAAAAAATTCTAACAAATGGTGAATTATAATCTTTAGGTCCCGGAGGTTTATGATAATTTGAATTGCTTTATCACGGCTTGATGCCCCAGTCCTAAAGTCATGTTACAGGTTGAGCATCTCTAATCTGAAAATCTAAAATCCAAAATGCTCCAAAATCCAAAACTTTTGGAGCACCCGATATGGTATCACAAGTGGTAAATTCCACACCTGAGACCTTTGCTTTCTCACAGTTCAATGTACACAAACTTTGTCTCATGTATAAAATTATTAAAAATATTGTATAAAACTACCTTCGGGCTATGTATATAAGGTACATACGAAACAGAAATGAATTTCATGTTTATCCTGTATCCCCATCCCCAAGATATCTCTTTATATATATGCAAATATTCCACAAACTGAAAAAATTCAAAATCCAAAACACTTCTGGTCTCAAGCATTTCAGATACAGAATACTTAGGCCCTTACACGAAGGGCCTCTTAATGCTTAAAGATTCACTGAACCCCTTGTGGGTCCCCTAACTAAAAATCTCTTATGGAAGTATTTTGATGTGGATTTGGGTAGGCCAACATTTTCCACTGAGCTGTGCTTTTAGATTCTTAATTATGTTTAAAAAGTAAGATTCTGGCACCTCCTTTTATTCAGGTTACTCTGTATTCTCAGCATTTCATATGCAGCCAACTTTAGTCAAGATGAAAATAAACCCACTGGTGCCTCTGGCACAATTCAGATTCACTTAATAGCAGACAGATATGTTTTAATCACATAACACATGCTGAGCACCCACTAGGAAATGTACAATTCTATGGAAGGTACATTTAAAAAAAAAAAAAAAAAAAAAAAAAACACCACCCACCTTTTCCTTTTGTTCTACATCTTTGGAAACAGCTTTTGGGAAAGTTTATTAAAGAGAGCATTATGAAATAACTGCCTCTAGGTGGCAGCAAGGTTAAACTTTTTTAGGCTTGAATAGGTGCTAGTTCATTTTATACTCCACCAAATTCCAAGATGATAAACCAAGGGAACTTAGCAGGGCAGCCTGAAAATATTTAAGAGTTGCATTTCCCACATGACATTTTCTTCGGTCAATCTGCCTCAATGGCTCGGATGTTGCAGAAAAGGCTATGATCTCAGCTTATCTTAAAGAATATTTGACCTTTAAAATAACAACAGTAACAATAATAACTACAAACTACTAACTAGACAGTCTAGATTTTAATACTAAGAAAGTTCCTTTTATCATCATGAAAATCTCATATAACACTTTATTATTCCCAAAGGTTTTAGAACCAAATTATTTGTCACTCTAATAACCCAACCAAATGTAAAAATTGATACTGCATTTACAGATAATGTTTTTAAAAAACCCATTACAAGTCAGCAAAAGAACAAATATTCATAATTTCCCAGCCCATTAATCACCAGATAATCAACTAAATTCAGTATGGATGTGACACTTCTAAAAGTTTCAAGGCTGAAGTTACCAGTGATAATGTGATTGGCAAAGAAAAGCAAGAGCTACGAAAAAGGTTGGGGCTGGCATGGCAGTGAAAGGGAGAGCCTTGAAACAGTAGATGCAGTATTTCCAGATAACTGTTCCTCAAACTGAGAACCGAGATGTAAATACTCTTATAAAGATGTGATCCTACATGTCTGACCTCTTTTCTTACTGATAATAATCAATTATTACAATTAATGATTTTCTTCAGGCTACTAAAATTCCCAAAGTGGTAGAGATGTGCCTGCCACCTGCTCAGAACAACTTTGCCAATCAAGCTCAGAATTTGTTCTTGACTTTGACAGAGACCTCACTATCAATTTCTACAGAGTCCCTCATAATCGATTTCTACAGAGTCCTTCTACCACCCTTACCAACAAAGAAAGGCTGGTTGCCAAATATAACTCAGTAAGCATCTCTGACCACTAAAAAACTAAGCATAAATCCTTATTGCCTAAGAAATTAATTGCCCACTGATTAAAATACTGAATTCTCCCATTCCACAGTTAACATCTCATTTAATGATGAAAGACTGACTGCATTTCTTTACCCCTTCCCTGGCCTGAGGGCCCCCAGATCCGGAACAAGACAAGGATGACCATTCTTGACACTTCTATTCAATATTGTACTTGTGTGCTGCAGTCAGAGCAGGTAGGCAAGAAATAAAAGTCATCAAGATAGGAAAAAAAGGTAAAATTATGTCTATTTGGAAACACCATGATCTTGTATATACAAAATCCTAAGGAATCCAGGACAAAACTACTAGAACTAATAAACAAGTTCAGCCAGAATACAGAAACAAAGATCAATATATAAAAACCAATTGTATTTCTATACACTTGCAATGAAAAATCTGAAAATAAAATTGAGAAAACAATTCCATTTGCAATAATTTCAAAGGGAATGAAATACTTAGGAAAATTAATTTAACAAAAGAAGTATAAAACTTATACTCCAGAAACTGTAAAACACTGTATAAAGAAATAAAAGAGGATCCAAATAAATATCTCATGTTCACAGATTAGAGAAATCAATATTGTTAAGATGGTGATATTTCTCAAACTGATGTACAGATCCAACACAATCTCTATCAGAATCCCAGCTTACTTCTTTGTAGTAATTGACAAGCTAATTCTAAAATTCATATGGAATTGCAAGGGAC